AGGACAGTGCACATTAATGAACAATCTCATACAGATTGTAAATGAGCCAGATTCTAGCATAGTTGCTAGTTTACATCTGTCGTCCTGAGGCAGGAAGACCAAACAACACAAAATCACAAAATACAAAATCAGTCCAAACACACGTTCAGACAATGACATTACAAAATTAAAATTAATTTAATTCAATTCAATTTCATTTATATAGCGCCACATCACAACGACAGTTGTCTCACAGCGCTTTCCAAACAGAGCAGGTCAGACCCTACTCTGAAGTTAATTACAGAAACCCAACAATTCCCACCATGAGCAAGCACTAGGCGACACAGGCAAGGAAAAACTTCCTTTTAACAGGCAGAAACCTCGAGCAGAACCATGGCTCAGGGTGGGCGGCCATCTGCCTCGTTATTACTCAGCCAGTCTCTGACAGACCCGTTGCATTTTGTGGCTTTTAATCCCTCAAAATCAAACACTTTTATATCAAAATACTGAACAGATGTTCACCTTGTCTTAACTTCTCTCCCTCATCCAAAATCAATTCCAGGGCCCTCTGGACAGAGAACCTTTTGGCCCTCTTGATCGGTTATAAGAAAACACACTGGCAAAGCTGTGCCAGTGTGGTCCCGCCCCCAATTTCTAGCAGATAGACAGAGGGTCAAATGTGGGAGAAAATTAGAGCAGACAAATAATATGTGTTTGTGCACCTGCAGTTCCCACACAAGGTTGCAACATTGTGAGTGCGTGTGTGTGTCTGTGTGTGGTTCACAGAACATCAATTTCCACACTTCTTTTAGCCCCGGGTCCAGTGGACCCGGACATCTTATATGTAACAGAAATGTGTAGGGGGGGTGTTCGGTGTGTGGGCCTTAAATGTGTTTTCTGATATATGTTCTTCACAGAAAATGAGCCAAAGCCTGTGAGTCTCAGTTTGAAAAATTAATTCATTGTATCTTTTTTTTTTTGTAAAAAATGAAAACGGGTCCCACAGACCCGAACACCACACAAGGGTTAAAAGGGACCTTTAATTTCTCCGGTTAGAATTCACGCTTCTACCTCAGGCTAAACCTCGGAGGTAGTCCGTAACCCAAAAGGAAACTCACATTGCGTCCGCCTTTTTTTCCGAGAAGATGCGGATGAGGAAGTTGGCCTCGTGGTGGGGCTGGAAGGTGGTGGGGACGAGCAGGTACTTCCCGGGGGGGAGGGTGAAGCGCTCCGACACCTCCCGCATGTTGATGTAGGTCCTGCTCCGGGCCTTGGACGGGTTATAGCGGAAGAAATCCTTCCCCACTTGGTCCTCCTCGTCCGGAGCCTGAATCAGTGGGCACAGAGCGGAAAGGAAAGATCTGAGTCCAACTTGAAGCACAGAAAGGCAGAATAGCTGTTGTGATCATGAATATATCAAGAAAAACAAGGAGTTGAACTTTATTCAGCTAAGGAACTATAAAAAAATTTTGTTTATATAACAAAGAGTGAGGTTTTAACGTTATACTTTGGACTTCCTGCTGATGGTTCAGTCTAACCTCTTTAGTTATGTAGATTGCTTATAGTTATGTCGTTTAAATCGAGTTAATTTAAGCATCCTTAATCGGGAAATGTTAAAGCCAATGCTGAGAGCTTCTGTCTGTGTTTTTTGTAGGTTTTTTCCCACCAACAATATGTGGGAAAAATGCTTTGATGTAGAACTTGACACAGTCTGTTTCAACACGCATTAAAATCATAAAAACGAAAGTAGGTGTTCCAAGAGCTGTGGAGTCTGGATCTGTGGTTGGGAGTTTCCTGCTGCCCCCGTGTTCCTGCTCTGTTGCCGTCATAACTTCTACCATCATCATTAGTATTAATATCATTGCCATTTTTCATCTAGTCTGTTGCTGTGTTGGCTGCCTCTCTCTCTATCTTTCTTGCCCTCTCTCTCTCTCACCCCCAACCGGCCGAGGCAGATGGCCGCCCACCCTGAGCCATGGTTCTGCTCGAGGTTTCTGCCTGTTAAAAGGAAGTTTTTCCTTGCCTGTGTCGCCTAGTGCTTGCTCATGGTGGGAATTGTTGGGTTTCTGTCATTAACTTCAGAGTAGGGTCTGACCTGCTCTGTTTGGAAAGCGCTGTGAGACAACTGTTGTTGTGATGTGGCGCTATATAAATAAAATTGAATTGAATTGAAAATTGAATAGTTTCTGACATCATAAACAGCAAAGCCAATGGTCTCCAAGTCCAGGCCCTCTTTCCTGAGCTTCCGTCTGTTCTTCTGCATCAGAGCGATCACCACGCTGCACACATCGTCATCATCGTCCGCATCCACCAGCTCCAGTCTGAACTGGGGGTTGGTCCAGAAAGTGTCTGCGGATTGCGATTGGAGAGGTCAGTTTTGGGGTGATTTTATGCCAGAAAGCAACAAATCAGATAGACGAGTTGGGCAAAAGGAAAATACTTTCATTCGTGTCATTGAATCTTCCAGTTTTTAAGCATTGGGAACAATGTTTCGGAGGCTCACCGATGTAGTTCCTGCAGCCTCCAGCGGTCGAACCCCGGATCCAGTTCCCCTCAAACACGTTGACCTCCCAGTGGCGTTTGGTGTCGTCAGTCAGGGAGTCGGGAGTCATGTTGCAGATCTCGGCCTTGTCAAAGTTCCTCTTGAAGTCACCAAATTCCATCCTAGAGAGACGAAAAAATGACCAATTCATAAATAAAACCAAGAGAGAAAATCTACGTTCTTCTAAAGCTTTGGCAAAGTTATGCACAAGCCCTAAAACGGAATATGGGCTCACCAGAATTCCCCGTCGTCTGTGGCATTCTGCAGGATGCGATTTTTCTCTGCTTTGTCCACGTAATCCCACTCTCTGGATCTGTAGAAACAAAGGACATGGTACATCTTTAACACACAGGAATCAGAGAGATTTAACGATCTACCAAAACGTACATCGTTAACATTTTCTCATATTAAGACTTTACTGTTATCCCAAATTTTTTCTTGTTCGGGAGCACGAGAGTACAAAATTTTATAAAAAACATTTTTATCTTTATGAACATCTACATATTGTAAATGCAGAATGTAGAAATAAACTTAAGAAAGACTCCAGATACATTTTCAGAATGAAATTGATTAGAAACTCTTTATATTTTCAATGTAAAAACTGAAAAGAAGAAAAACTAGATGTTTGAAAAGGTCTCTTTTTAAAAGTAAGAAGCGAACCCTTTAGCATCATAAGTTCAGGTACATATACATAAGGTCTTTTATAAAGTCACATACATGTTTTGTCCACAAGTGACCTTAGTTATCATGCACTCAGCGGATATATAAATGCAGGTGTAACTGTGGTGTCTGAAGCCTTCAGAAAGGGGTCGACTATTCTGTTAGAAAGCATCGCCACCTGAAATAAACACATTCTTAAGATATGGCGTCAAGTGGGGCTGAGTACCAGGAAGGGAGATGTACAGACCCACAGTTACCAAATATGGAGGACAAGCTACCATCTCCAGACCCATAACGACGACTGTAAGGACGAGACTGTGATGCACACATTGAGACACAAAGGAAGACCAAATATGGGAAGGCGTGAACACTGGATAAAGGAGGACCCAACCAGAGTCGGACAGAACTTTCTCGGACATTCTCAACTTTGAGACATGTTCAGATTTAAAGCATCGATCTGTACTTCTGATTAGGACCTGGCTGATAGTAAAAACCTTTTTGGGGTTCGACCAAGTCTATGACAGCAGAATCTTTTCCTGTAGCATCTCAACCTGAGCTGTTTGAAGACCAACGCTCCAAAATACACCACATGACCAAACCTCTTTCTCACGAAGGACATTTTAACTTGTTAAAGTGAATGATTTGTATAAGTATTTCTAATGTGTACAACCATGCTAAAACAAACCAAAATGTTCCACCATTTAATCCACTGGTGCAAAATTTGGGCGCAAAGCAAAATCTGGACTTAAAGTTAGGAAAATAAGTTCAGGAGAGGTTGGGTTACGTGACAAGAATTTGACTGAGCTGACTACAAAGTCAGTCGTATTATCAACTGTATTTAGATTAGCAGGCCCTGATGAGGGTTCCTTTTGTGATAATCTGAGGAATCACACACAGTTTAGGCAAAGTGTGTTTGTCTAGAAATGTGCCTGAAAACAGCTGCTCTCAGCCTTGATGTCCTGGCCCTCATGGATATTTTCTTCATTACATTTAATGAAGATTTTAATTCAAAGCTTCCCATCTCTATTTCCCTATAGCGCACTTTGGGTCCTTGTGTGTGTGTTATTCATCTTGAAAGTGTTTTTTGGTATTACTGGTCACTCCAGGGTCCGTTCCACTCGACTTGACCCCACGGGTTTCTGACCCGGATCAGCTGGACAGTCTGACCTCGAAAATTGATCTAAGAAAAAGAAATAAAGGCTTCTGAGTTAAATTCATAACTTTTACAAGTGCTTCCCCTCATCTTAGCATTCTAGATTATTTGAAATCTTTCTTTATTACAAATTTTTAAGGAAATGTTTAAAAAATGTTAAATGTTTTGATTAAATCAAATTCAAATCCATTCAAATTTGTGCAACAGGTAAGACTATGTGATGAAGAGTCACTAAACTACCACAGAGGAATTATTCGTGCATTTAACAGGTAATTTCATGGAACACAGTTTAAAAAATGTTGTTTTTCTTTTATTTCTTCCTTGGGCTTAGGGGGATTCCTACCTCCTCCATGCCTGTGATGGAATAAGCGTGGCCCTTCACCAGGCCTGTGCTAGTTTTGGCCTCAGACTCTGCAGAGCTGGTGATCTGGAGATAAAAACCAAACCGGCCAAAGAGGTTTACTTTAAATTCACTCAAGTGCATGATAACCATCAGAAAATATATGAATCCAATTGTGCAACGTGAGTGTGGGAGAATCTACATCAATGGAGCATCCCATCATGGAGCCTCGGTCCAGAGCCTTCTTCATGATTGAGAACAGGTTTTCTGGAGCTGCCTTGGTTTCGTATACTTCTCCCACCCCACCAGTGAAGTCCTCCATGGCCTCCATCGTGCTGCCACCCTTCAGAGACTCGTAGCTGCCATGAATCCTCGAAAAAGAACACAATAGAAAAATAAATCACTGTGCTAAGCGTGGAAATGGGCAAAGTGAGAAAAAGTTCATCTGTTGATATTTGATTTCGAATAAAATTTGAGGGTTAAGTTCTGGAAGGGGGCATAAGAGGGGGTCACTCAAGTGGGTGTGAATGCAGTGAGAGGTCTTACTTGGCGTAGGCTTTCTCCAGCAGAGCGCTCCAGAACTCGTTGTTGGAAGCAGAATGAAGCATGATGAGTTTGTCTCTGACCGTCGGCAGCCTGTCGTCCACCACCACATCCAGCCACTTGTTGTGTTTCCAGAACTGAGGGAGGTATAGGAGAATGAATCACAAAACGCCGGAACTTTTAAGCACATTATCAAAAACTTGATTTAACTCGTTAGCAAGCTTGTTGAGTAATACAACAATATCCTCTGTTTCTGTCACATTTGCTAATTCGGCTCAGTGACAGCTGGGTTTTGAGTTATCGAGCAAGAAAAAACTAAACTATTCTCTCTGTAGCCTTATTCATTGCTAGCAAAATTACACTAAAACCTCAAAAATGAACACAAACTTTTAAAAAAGCTATCCAGTTTAAGTGTCTTTTAGAGAGAAAGTTGTTGAAGGGAAAAAGTCTTTGGTCAATGTATTTGTTAGTCACTGCAGGGATGATGTTGAGGACTTTTACCAAATTACAGCCCAAAAATACAGGAACGTGAAGGGTCAAGCAGCTGTTCTCCTCTGTTCCATGTTACAGATTATCAAATTAAAAATGATCTAATACCTTTTACACAGTCATATTTCTCAATTTGAACATGATTTGTTCATTTTATTATGAATTTGATGCTGTTTTATACAGTGGGGGAAATAAATATTTGACCCCCTTGCTGATTTTGCAGGTTTGCCCACTTACAAAGAATGCTTATTTTTCCTCATCAGATGGTTAACAATTTTTTTAAATTCATATGATGTGATTTTCTGGAATTTTCTTTGGGATTCTGTCTTTCACTGTTAGAATGTACATATGATTAAAGTTATAGATCGTTGCATTCTTTGTAAGTGGGCAAACCGGCAAAATCAGCAAGGGGTCAAATACTTATTTCCCCCACTGTAAGGGTCCGCAATAATTTGATACTATTTCTATTAACATTTCACGCAGAATCTCTTTATTTTATATGTTGAGAAAGATGAAAAAAACAGTTTTTGTGTTTGTCAGTCTGCAGTAAAATAGAAGTCGAGGTGAATGTAAGTTTCTGCTTCTTTGCTTTAACTCCTTTCTTGTGTCTTTTCTTTTTTAAAATCATATTAAATTGTTACAGATTCTGGACCTTTAAAGCAGTTTACATCAAACTACGCTTAAAATGGAAGCTACTGCTGTGGCCGCAGGGTCTGGACGTCCCTTTGAGGTTTTTCCGACATTGGAATTTAGTACCTGGAAGTGAAAGATTCCGGCATATCCGCGGCCAAAGTCCTGGTCGTGGGGGACAACTCGGGCCAGAGCATTTTCTTTCAGCGTCAAGGAGGCGATGGCTGCCAGGAGCCAGCAGTCCCCTGTGGAGACAAACGGGGGCCTTATTGATAAAAGACCCAAAAGAAGGACCAAAAACAAACCTGTCACATAAAAAAAAGAGTACAAACCGAGCTGTCCTTGGCAGATATCTGTCCTGCTTGCGCCGCCCACGATAAAATGAGGGTTTTCACAAATCTCCTGTGAAATGGCAGGAAAACAAGAAAAGAAACAGGTTCACGCGTCTTAAGTTGTGACAGTCATGCTTTCGATAGGCGTGTTCACATTCCACATGCATTAATCAGCTTGAAATCTCAATCAACCCCACACACACACTACATGCCATCAGTCTGAGGGGAACGCCCTGCACAGAAATGTGTTGTAAATGCTACCCAGTGAGTAAAAGTATTTAAATAGTTTTTTTTTTTGGTTTTTTTAACTCCTGCATTGGCTGCTGCAAACTTTCTTCAGGCACTCCCGAACAGGTGAACAGTCTCCACTCAGAGCTCCGACTGGGGAAACTGAACCGGCTATTTAAACAGTTTTCAGGCAGAACTGGTTTCACAGCTTCAAATACAAATGCGATTTGTTTTTTTTCCCCTCTTTTTATGTTTTATTAAAGAGGATAAAACATTAACCTAAAGCCTGTTTTTCATTTCAATTTAGTGTCTGCTTAAGGCCATTTGTTCTGCCTTTGAGGTCCCAGCTTGGCAGATAAGTTTAACTTGTATTATTTATTTATTTATGTATTTATTTATTTAATCAGGACAGTGCACATTAATGAACAATCTCATACAGATTGTAAATGAGCCAATTCTAGCATAGCTGCTAATTCGCATCTGTCGTCCTGAGGCAGGAAGACCAAAACAACACAAAATCACATAATGCAATATCAGTTAAAACAGAGAGACACACGTTCAAACGATGACATTACCAAATTAAAATTAGTGATTGCATGACTGGGAACTTTTGAGAAACAGTTTAAGGTGCTTTTTAAATGTGTAAAAAGTGGGACCTTCCCCTTATCTTAGAATAATTGCAGTAAATATGCCTCAGTATATAGATTTAAATTACAGGAGGGTTTAATTTGGGCTTAGTTGCAAGATCACCTCTACAGCACCAGTTAATATAACCATAAACCCAAGAAGAAATCCATCCTGAGTGGATGGTCCGTTGCATACATACCGGGGGCCTCTTCCATTCAATCTGGACGGGGACACTCTGGCTGAAGAAGAGCGAGGAATCGGTGGCAGGAAAGTCCGGATCCTCGAACAGGACTCCGTTCTGGAGGCATTCCTGCCTCAGCTGCTCGTAAGACTTCCCATCCCACTGCGTGTTTTCGGCCTGGGACGGGTCGGAGCTCCCGCCGGACAGAGTGGACAGGACGGGCATTCTCTTCCCGGACGAGCGTGGAGTGGACGAGGCGAGGAGGTGCGATGGGGCGAGCGAGTTTGCTCGGTACTGACCTGAAGACCTGTCTGCCAGCCGGGTAGGGTAGGGCTGGCTGGCTGGGGCACTCCCTCCAGAACGAAACTGGTTTGTCCTCCTGTTTGTCAACCTCTCCTTCATCTCTCTCTCTGGGCTCGGCCTGGAGAGGGATTCACCTTACTGACACACAAAAGATAACAAACAAATGTGTTATCAGTGTCTCTACGTACATAACTGGAATCTAAAAGGAGAACTTTCAATCAATACCACTGCCTTTTTTGTGGTGGAGTAGTTTAGAATAGGGGTCTTCAACGTTTTCCAGGCCAAGGACCCCCAAACTGATGGCGAGATGGAGCGGGGACCCCCTAATTTTAAATATTGTATGCAAATTGTGCTATTATCAAACTGGTCCTACAGTGCTATGTGTAAATGTACCTTGTTATTGGGCATTCAATACTAAGATACTCAAATAATCCACAGGTTCATATATTCCTCTTTTAATTGTAAACATCTGGTTCTGGTTCCTGGTTGGGTGGGACAGGTGTTGTGAATGAAACGGTGCCCAGCTTGAAAGAGCTCCTGTGTGTGTCTGAATGTGTTTATTGATGACTGAAAGACACCTTCTGCCTCAATTTATCTGTTTCCTACAGTCTGTCGAATTCCTGTTAACGTGGATTTAAAGACTTTTCAATTAGTGGAAAAAATTACAGGGGTGGAATATTAAAAAAAAAAGTCTAATCAACCAAAACTTTCATGACCCCCATGCAGGACCTCCACGGACTCCTTAAGTGTCCTTTATCCACCTGTCTAATCAGAACCTTTGTGGGGTATTTCTGATTTCATATTACTTTATTATACTTTATGCTGCAATCGTTCTAAGAGGGATCGATCCAGAACTGGAGACTGATCATCAGATCAGGGGGGCCTGCTCTCCAGGAACTGCTTTTCGGGTTTATTAAGACAGAGCTAAGCCTAAAGGCCCCAGTCGGAGCTTTACCGGCCAAGTCAGTATTCAACAACCCTGAGACGCAAGCTGCAGAAATATGGGCGGAAGGATATGGGAGGACATCCGTCATCGGGGTGGGGGGCCGAGCCGGGACCCCGCGGAGCACATCTGTCAGCTGGGGTTGGACCAGTTCCGCCTGGCTCTGAGCCCTGCAGACAGACGGGGGCGTTGCCTTCACCATCTACCCCCCCCCCCGCCTGCCTGACACTCCCTTCTGCCGTCAGATCGGACATCCTCATTCCTTTGGGTGAAAGCTCGATTCGTTCCTCGCATAGTTCGTGACGGGATTTGAAAAGCATTCTGTACTAAAGGTCAGAAACTTAGATATGTCCAGAGTGAGATATTTCTCCGTCTAATGAGGTTCAACATTACAACATTTCACTTTTGAACAAACTGTTTTCTCTGATGTACCATAGTACTTTTTGGTCAGTCCGGTTCTTTCTTAAAAGTTGGGCACAATCTCTGATAAATAGAAAAAATATAAGGCACCTTCAGTATAGATGCTGGTGCATCTGTGGAGGATTGACCAATTCTAGGACAAATATGTTTATAGACTTTGCTAAATTTTTTCTACGTGAAAATATACAGATATCTATTTGGTGGTTAGAAAATAATCACCTAAATGTATTTTACCTCTGTCAAAACCAAAGAAACTTTCCCACCGTCATCTCTTCCCTGTGTGCTTCTATCGGCGTGGTCGATTGATGGTTTGGATGCAGAGCCGTCGGAGGGGTCAGAGGTCACGGTGTCCATCTCTGGCTCGCCGCTTTACCCTTTACACTCTGAAATTCTTCCGGATTCCTCGAATGATGGTCTGCTCTGTACAGGGAGACATGACATCCCCCCGATCCCTTTGCATTCAACACACCTGGAGATAAACTGGAGATCCTCTGTGTGTATTTTTCCCAAAAAAAAGATCGATACAATCACCTAAAGATCTGCATGAGTCTTTAGGTGAAAACATTGTTGAGTCAATCGACAGTGATTAATCAAAGTCTAATATTCAAATCATTAATGGGTGGAAAATCGGCAGCGTGCAATGAAATGAAAGCAGGAAAACCCAGCGAGGCGTCAGTCCGATAAACTCTTTATTAAAGGTGGAAAAACAGCGACGGGCTTCCACACTGATTGAACGCAGTCCCATTTTTACATCTAACTTCTTTTTTTTATTGTTTTATTCGTCATTAAGCGCGGCCAGGCTTGCCTGAAACGGTACAAAAGAAACGACAGGACAACGTGGAAAACACAACCGCAGTCACCGGCAGCCCCCTGACCTCCAGCCTGGTGTCGGACCGTGAGCTGGAACCTCTAAAACACTTTTAGAGAGCTGAGGAAAAGGTCTGAAACGCCCACTTTATTCCCGAATTTTTCTACAGGTGGGATTTGACTGGAATGTGCTGGCTGATGTGCCAATAGGAAATGCTGGAAACGTACTCTGGACATTCAGTGTCCGGCTTACATTTATCACCGTATGTTCTTTTTATACTTTAAACTTATACTTTAAGTCTGATTTCAACCAGCGCGGACAAAAACAAAAAAACTAAAGTTTAGCCATTTTCTCAGGTCTGGATTAAATTTTCCCTTTTTTAGCAATTTAAATATTCAGATGAGGCCCTCTGTAACAACGACAAACCAAAATCTTGTACCTTTTGTCATCAGGTGTGAGAGAAACAGTGTAAGTCTATAATAATAATAATAATAATAATAATAGGCACTCAGGCCTTTCCAGAATGACAAAAGTGTGTAAAACAAAATCATCTCTACTTTCCCCCTATGCTGTAAACTAATGAGGACTTGGGGTCTGGCTGTGGTGGCCGTTGACGGGTGAAGGAAACCATTAAAATGACCCCTTGGCTGTTGTTGGATGGAGGCGGTGGGGGGTGGGGGGGGGGGTTGGGGGCGAGGGCTAGGGCTCGGCCTTTTCCTGCGCGGTCCCCGTCACCAGCAGCAGGTTGCAGGCCATGAACTGGACGTTGAGCACGCTGCTGGTGCTCCCCGTGTACAGCCCCACCAGCTCGCCGGACGATCCGTCGGCCGGCGCCGCTCCGCCTACGCCCCCCGCGCCCCCCCCCGCCGCCGCCGGCGCCGCCGTGCGACCCGCGGATGTCCCACACCCTCACCGAGTTGTCCATGGAGGCCGACGCCACCAGGCTGCTGTCCGGGCTGAAGGACAGGCTGGTGACGCTGTCCGAGTGGCCGCGCAGGTCCTTGAACAGGGTCCCCGAGGCCAGGTCCCACAGCTTCACGCGCTGGTCCTCGCCCGCCGACACCAGGTACTTGCCGTTGGGGGAGAAGGCCAGCGCCAGGACGGGCCCCCGGTGGCCCGTGAAGAGGCGCACCGACGCCCCCTGCTGGGTGCTCCACAGCCGCACCGTCTTGTCGGCCGAGCCCGTGGCCAGGTAGTTGGTGTTGGGGTGGAACTTGACGCAGTCCACGTCGGACAGGTGGCCGGCGTACAGCCGCAGGGGGTGCGTGCGCGAGAAGGTCCAGAGGCGGGCCGTGCGGTCGTGCGAGCCGCTGGCGAAGTAGAGGCTGCACGGGCTGACGTCCAGGTCCCACACCGGGTAGGCGTGGCCCCGGTAGAGCACCGTGTTGGTGAAGCTGCCCAGGTCCCAGTAGCGGACCGTGCTGTCCTCCGAGCAGGACAGCAGGCCCGAGCTGTCGGTCAGGAAGGCGGTGCGGTAGACGGGGCCGCTGTGGCCCTGCAGCGTCTTGATCTCGCTGCCCGAGGCGTCCTCCTCGTCGGCCTGGAAGGGGGGGCAAAATCGGCCGTTACTGCTCCATCCACGTGTGGACTCACAGGACCAAAACACCCAGAGTAACAGCTCTGCTCACCTCTTCATTCCCTTTAGTCCCTCACAAATAGTAAAAACAGGAGAAGCTTTATAGGTTAAAAAACTTTTTTTTTAAAGATTCTGGTTGAGAAAAGAGTTTTGCCAGACAAAAACAATTCAGCACAACCTTCTTTCCTCTTTTTACCCGTTTATTACTTTCTTCTTTGGAGAAGATTTGCAGCCACTTGTTGGGAACCACATTCACAGATGATTTTTTCCTCACCTTACGGACGACAGGGCCCACTTGTCTTTAGTTTGAGCCTATGTTTAACCTTAACTGAAAGCTGCGCTTCTGATTCAGCGACACCTGAGAGCTTCTCCTTAACTCTGCTGGCTCAAAACCGAGGATGAAAAAAAGGTTTGAGCCACAGCGGAAGAAATGGGACAGTTTTAATAATACAGTTATAATATTCCCGTGAGTCCCGTTAAAATCACTGGTCTTGGACTTTTTAGAATAGGATTAATAAATAGTAATGTCTGCTGGAAGTGTAAAAAAAGAAACTGGTACTTTTTTAAAATCTTATATGGGAGTGTGCTTTGGTCAAACCATTCTGGGACAAGACACTTAAATTCCTAGAGACACGGATAGACTATGTCCTCGTCTACATCTTCTTGGAGACAAAACAGCAATACCCCAGCTCACAAAAGAGGTCCACTCAGTGTTGATGGTGGGGCCAACCTCGGACACTTGGAAGCACCCGAACACCCCACATATTCCAGGAAGCGAAAGTGTTAATGACTGAAACTGTATCATACGAGGTTATGCTGACTAGATTAAGAGGCAAAGGGCAGGTGGTGTTAAAGAATTGGGATTTCTTTCAAGTGTACCTGACTTCTCAGTAGTGGTCATATTATACGACTGTCAGGAATGGGAGAATGACAGTTTTCAACCTTGTTATTTTATTAGAATATTGTTATGTTAAGATACGTGTGCGCATTAAACGCATATATTTCATATTATGTTGCCATTTTTGGTTTCCCTTTTTTTTTTTCCCTTCTTCATCATCCAGGACCACCTTTTACTTTTTATTGAATTGTCTGACCATGTGTTGTAAGCTTTTACTTTCTGCATATTGGACCATGCAAGCTTTGTACCGGATTTGTTTGATTGTTTAAATAAAAAAACTTAAATAACAAAAAATAAATAAATCACTGGTCTTGCTGCACAGTTGAATGTGACATAACTTATGAGTGGCAGCAGGGTCTAACCATGATATCCAAGAACCTGTTCAGTGCTCCAAAAGTCAAAATCATACACTTACTTCAAAACAGCAATACCCCAGCTCACAAAAGAGGTCCACTCAGTGTTGATGGTTGGGCTAACCTCAGACACTGGGAAGCACCCGAACACCCCACATATTCCAGGAATGGAAAGTGTTAATGACTGAAACTGTATCATACGAGGTTATGCTGACTAGATTAAGAGGCAAAGGACAGGTGGTGTTAAACAATTGGGATTTCTTTCTAGTGTACCTGACTTCTCAGTAGTGGTCCTATTATACGACTGTCAGGAATGGGAGAATGACAGTTTTCAACCTTGTTATTTTATTAGAATATTGGTATTTTAAGATACGTATGCATATTAGACGCATATATTTCATATTATGCTACCATTTTTTTTTTCCCTTTTTTGTTTTTTTCCCTTTCTTAGTCATCCAGGACCACCTTTTACTTTTTATTGAATTGTCTGACCGTGTGTTGTAAGCTTTTACTTTCTGCATATTATACCATGCAAGCTTTGTACCGGATTTGTTTGATCGTTTAAATAAAAAAACTTAAATAACAATAAATAAATAAATAAATCACTGGTCTTGAAGTACAGTTGAATGTGACATAACTTATGAGTGGCAGCAGGGTCTAACCATGATATCCAAGAACCTGTTCAGTGCTCCAAAAGTCAAAATCATACACTTACTTCCTCCTCCAGAACGTCGCATGCCAGGTGGATGCGGGACACGTCAGCCTGATGGGGCCTGGCCTTCAGCTTTCTGGCCCGGAGGCTCCACAGCTTGACCGTGGAGCTGTCGAAGCCGGCGGCCAGCAGCCGGCTGTCGGCCGACACCTCGGCCGCGTTGAGCATCTGCTCCGTGTGGTGGAAGGCGTACAGGCAGATGGTGGTGAGCGACGGCGGGCCCTCGCGGACCTTCTTGATGCAGTCCTGCAGGGCCTCCAGGGCCGCCTCGCTCTGCGGGATCCCGGCGGGGACCTCCACGCCTTCCCCGCCCTCCCCGCCGTCCGCCGAGGCCCCCCCCCCCGCGGCCCCCCCCGTACAGCTGGTAGTCCGTGCGCCTGGAGGCGGTGACCTCCACCTGCAGGTGCGTGCTGAGGGCCCGGCACAGGGCGCCGTTGTCCTCGCTCTGCAGGTAGCGCAGCAGGTAGCCGTAGGCCGGCTCCGTCAGGTGCACCACGTACTTGTGCTCCAGGAAGGGCCGCAGCTTGGCGCTGGACGCCACGTCCTGCGCCGTCAGGACGTGGCGCAGCTGCTCCACCACGGCGCGCTGCTCGCCGTCCTGGAGGAAGGCGTCGTGGAAGCGGCCGTAGAAGCCGTCCACCGCCCCCTTCAGGCCGCAGTGCACCATGTCCAGGTGGAGGTAGACGAACAGCGGGTAGAGGACGCCCCTCACCTCCTGAGCCCAGGAGATCTCTGCCTCTGTTGAGGACAAACAGCGTTCTGAGGGACTTAGAATCAAAGAAAGTGTACATTTAACTCTTTGCAAGGCAGAAACAGGCAGACCTGAGAGAAAGGAGCGCAGCTTGGAGTACTGGGTCTCATACTGTTGTGGGTCAAACTGACAGGGAGCAGCAGAGATGACGTTGGTGCAGCCGGACTCCGTTTGGACTGCTCACAGGTGGGGGGGAAAACGGTTAATCAGAGTAGAAATACACCCATTTAATCACGCTGCTTCTGTGGATGTGTGGCTTTAAGAGCTGCTCACCTGTTAGGCTGGCAGCCATCTCCTCAGCTGACTGGAAGAGCTTGGCTCCCTTCAGGGAGCCGTCGCTGTCCACATACTGCCTCTTCTTCAGGTACTGAGCCACGGCATACTGGATCTGCTCAGTGCGAACCCGTTTCATGACCTGCCGGGCACAAAACCCAGAGTCACACACACACACATACACACACACACACCTGACGTTCACGTCCAGGTCCCACCCCGGGCGGCGCGTCCTGTTCGGTTAGCGGGCAGAGCTGACGTTTACCCCCCCCCCCCAGAAAAAGAAGAGCTCACACCGCGAATAAAACCTTAAGCATATGCAACCGCCATACACAGCTGGAACAAACCCTGTGGAAAAGCTGACACATTAAGCTAAGCTGCTAACTTTAGCAAACGGGCCTGGCGAATGTAAACTTTTAGCGGGAGGAAGTCCCGTCCGCGGCTGGAAAAAAAAACGGCCACTCACTGCATATCCTGTGGAGCCTCTCGTCATCGGTTTGTCCATCAAACGAGCTGTGTTTTTTAGTGGGGTTTGTGCATGCCAGCGCCCGACGGAAACTACGCCGCCGACTTTCGCCTCCGCTCCATCGTGGTAGTCCGCCCCCCAAAAGCCTCCATTAATTATGCTAGCTTTGCTAGCCGGCCGCCCTCAACTCTGATTAGCCATAGCTTTCTCCGGTCTATTATTTCCGCCTGCCTCGCGACGACAAGCCAACTCTATCGATGTCAGATCTCAGGATTGATTGCCGCCTCTAACAGATGCTAATCTGAATACCGTAACGGGCATCACATTACAAAAAGCTATTATGTGCTGGAAACCGTTTATCTACTAAATAATCACACTTAATGTATTATATGTAACTAAGAGAGAGGTCACTAATCATCCAGTTGGCTATATACGAAACAAATTCTTGGTGTTGCGGCTTAATAAGTTAATAAGAGGGAAAAAAACATGTTTTTTCCTCTCAATGTTGACTAAAATGAGAGTAAAAGTAGCATTAACGGTCCTGTAGCGGCTGTAAAATCATCGCGCTGTTAATAAAGTTTTGAATGCTAGGCTGTCGACACCAATGACGTGTAATTCAAGCGACTGCACCGCGCGCTGTTTGGAGGGAGGAAGAAGCGTTCAGTGGATTACGGGTCAGCCCGCTCATACGGTGGGAGAAGTAGGTATTTCTTGGCTGTAGGACCGTCCGGGGCACCACGACAGGCATGTTTAGTCCCCGCAACGCCCTGAACTCCGCTCGTCGGGGGCCGGACGTGGCCACCGGGAGGAAGAGCCTGTCCGGGCCGGCGGCCAGCCTGTTGTTCTCCCCGCGGAAAACGCCTCTGTCGGCGAGGTGCGTGGACATACAGAATAACGTAGTCTGTCATTGAACACATCTGCTAAGTGGTTTGGAGTCTGTCCTATCTGTGGCCTATTAAGGACTCACTTTATGACTGTACAGATGTTAATTTCTGCCACCTCACTGAAACATTCCAACGCAGGCCTCATTAACAGTACAGATTGAGTGAAACTGTCACTTGTTGCTCAGTAGTTAGATATTGGCAGAAAGAATTAGTTGGCCGTCTTAATGTGTGACGTCTCTCTCACAGGTCCACTCCCACGCGGGTTCAGACCCACTCAGCTGCAGAATCCCTCAGCTATGACGTGAGGACGTTTGGCTCATCCCTGCCCGTCAAAGTCATGGAGGCCCTGACCATGGCTGACGGTAAGGAAAACCTCTTTTTGTGAGCCTAGAGGTGCTGTTAGCTAGCCACATCTAATGCCGAATAACAAGAACAAATGGTGGCCTAAACACATTTGCTCTCATTGTTCTCGTCACATCCAGTGGACGTGGTCCAAATCGACATTGTATTTGGGCCTTTACGCTTTGTCCGCCCCCACAAGGCTTCCCTAAACCGTTTAAAAGCTGAGCTGAGATATTTTTGGTCAGGTTTGACCCATACACCTCATGCCACAATCCAATCGAAATGTTTCATAAAAATGCATAAAAAATGCCTGATTTTTTTATGCAATATACTTATCTTTTGTGTTGTAAATGTGCCATTGTGTCGCCACTAAACCACTCTGTGTGTGTGTTTGTCTATGAATCCAGCTGATGACCAGATCTCAGTGAAGGTGAACGAAAGCGGCTGGGCATGGATGGTTTGTGGAGAGAGGGTGATCATCTGGAAGATCTGTCAGACTCCTGTAGCCAAGGTACACACCGGCCTGGTTTCATGATGCCTGGAGAAACATACTGGTTTTCCGGCTGTCATGTGTACTGGTATGATGTGTCTGTGAATAAGAGACAAGCAACAGAAGGAAAATGGAGGCTGTTTCTGCTTTTGCTTGCATTTCTTCCTCTGTTTATGACAGATTAGGGCTGTGAAGGGATAGTTAGTGCTATCCCAGGCTGAGATGTGACCAAACGCATCCATAAACTCCCAAACTGAGCTCAGGGTTTTCCCGCAGCTGTCGGTGTGCAAGATGCTACAACTGCCCAGCAGCGACTACAACTACACGGCAGACCTGGTGGCTGTGACCTCCCCCGCCTCTCTGGACGTGGCCCCCGTTCAGTCCATTTCCGTGCTGGCGCTGGCTGCGGAGGGTACAGCTCGCTTCTGGCCAAGCCTGGCCCACGAGGGCAACTACACCGATTTGGATTTGGACTTTGGAGATCTCTGCAACTTTGTGGTCGCTGTCAGAGTGAGTAAACCCCTCAGAAAGTCTGAGTTATCCAATGAAAGTTTAATTTGACATTGATTTTTGATGGTTCTTCTGATAAAACAGCTCATTGTAAATTCGTTTTCCGACCTGGTTTCTTCGCCTTTGGTATTAATTTGCACTTGTGACTCTTCTCTCCCAGGGCGGAAGCTTCGTCCTTTCATCGGTCAAGAATCAGATGTTCAGAGCAAGTGCCGACTCCTCCGGGAAGCTGCAGTACCGGCCCCTGCAGCAGGGTCAGGGCATGCTGTCTGGCATCGGCCGCCGTGTGTCCAGCCTGTTTGGCATCCTCTCCCCTCCAGCCAACGACACAGTGGGTTCTTAGAAGTGACTCTTTAGTCCCATTTGAGGTCGTTCTGTGTTCACCGTGGCTCAACTTAATATTGACAAGAGAAGGCAGAGAGGTTCTGGTTCTCTGCTGGTGGTTCAGAGTGTCAGAGAGCATTTTTACTGCAGACTGTGTTGGGGTTCTCAGCCGTGTTGTTTGCTCAGCTCCACAGTGTGCTGTGGGACCCAGAAACCAGCGGCCTGTACACACTCACCTCCTCCGGTCTGAGTAAGTGGGAGGTGGACGACGGCTCCGAGCACCAGATCTTCAGTTGGGACACCCGCAGAGCTCTGACCGAAAGCATCACCGATTCGATTTGGGTAAGCGCCGACTCCTGCAACCACGCGACGGCACACACAATATCAGTGTCACTACAATGGAGCTGAAGAGTTTTTGTTATTGACTACTGTAGCAGAAATCTCCATTTTAATAAAGACACGGTGAAAAAAACAAGTTAGATAAAAAGATTGGATGGTCCACGTTAAAGGACAGAAAGAGCACATCTGAGAAAGTAAGAAAACAAAGAGGAGGGACCTGAGGAATAACTGAAGATTGAATTAGTTCAGGCCCAGTTCCAAACAGTGGTCACAGCTACATGCACGCTATAAAGTGACCACAGTATGGAAGAAACTCTCCAAGAACCTTTCCATTCACTGATAGGTCAGACCTTATTTAGATGACAGTCAAATGTTAAGTCATATCTCAGTTGAGAAAGAAAGGAATATATTTTAAAGGCTCCTACATTTCCCTTCTTCACTTTCCTGGGGAAATTAAAGATTTGAACAAATGAAGTAAAGATTACACTAACTGGCTTTTATCTTTGAGCGTAACCCCCACAGTTAGTTGTTCTAAGAAAATGCAAAACTGTGGCAAGCCAGTCACACAGATAAGGAAAAACTCTTTTGGTGATTGAATCGAATCTACACTGACATGGAGGGTAGCAAGGTCGATATTTGGTTGGCAGCATGCCAGTCACCTTAATATCAAAGGCGCTCAGTGGAGCCTTTATTGTTTGCTGAGCTATTTTTGATGTGTACAGATACATGTAGTACTTACTGAAGACACACATGAGAAGAGCGACATCTTCAGGATGCTGTAAAGAAGAGACAGGGATTTCTGCTGTGTGGACAAGTGTTCCCCTTATTGTGGCCCTCATATTTCCAGCTTGGCTAGTTAATCTCTGTACCTGATTTCTGTTTTAAAATCGGTTTAAATCAAACTTACTTAGGAATCCTTTTTCTTATCAAATGGTCAGTGAAGTTGTGTAAAACCACCGTCATGGTCGTGCCGGCTGTTCCTTTCTCCAGGGGTCAGAGAGCAACTACGAGGAGATGAAGGAGGGGGCGAACGTGGCCTACCTGGACATGAAGCTCGGCCAGTGAGTGTGCTCATCTGTATCAGAGCGGGTGGGAGCTGGACAGACGCAGGCTCACATGGTCTTAAAGACAGTTACAACCATTTCTGTTCAAGAAACACTTGAGAGGCTGTCTCCCAGTTTTATCTGGCTTTGTTCATATTAAGCTATGGTATAAAATTATCATTTTTTACAACAGAAAAGACTAAGCACACTGAGATTGTTTCCCTATAGCCATGTTGCTTAGGATGTGGATGCTGAATAGAGCTGAGATGAGAAATTAATTGGTCTGCTGCTAGTTTTTCAATAATTTTAGTCATGAGAGGAAAATGCTTATTAGTCTATAGTTTTGACGAATTGAAAATGGGCCCAGCTGGATTCTGTACTCCAATATCTGCATTAAATAGTCAAAAACAGATTTTAATTAAGAATCACTATTTAAGTTTTTGACCTGCCAAGCGCCACAAAAAAGGCAAAAAGTGTATTTTTTTTATTACTTACTGCACTTTGAAGTTCATTCTTGGATTAAAACTATTTCCCAATGCATTCCGTCTGTGTCAAAGCCTCTGCTGTGTGCCCTCAGAGCTGGCCTGGTGGTGTCGGCGGCAGCCTGGAACCCGTCGGACACCCCCTGCCTGGCCTACTTCTGCCTGGTCACCCTGCAGGATAACGGGGCCTCCATTAGTGAGCAGTTCACCGTAGAGGTCACAAAGTTTAACTGTCCATTCCAGGTCAGTCCCAGTCCTCATGTTGCAGAGAGCCATCCACAATGCAGTAGTATGAATATCCAGATCTTCATTTATAAAGAAGACCATGTATCTTCAATAACATAATAACATAGTAATAATAAAAGAACGCATGGTTTTATAAATCTGGATTTTGTTTGGCCCACGCCATTTTTGGCTTTGGGACACTTTTAGTATGGATCCTATGCAATGTTTTCCGAATGAGACCCTGATCACCAGCAAGAAGTGTATATGTTTTAGAAAACAAATCGGACAGTGCCTTGAGCAATAGCAGGGGAATTCCATTCTCCAAAAGTTGAATGGATTCCAATAGCCCAGATAAGTAGATATTAGCAAGTAGTGTTAATGTCTTGTGGTTCACAGCATAACTTGGTGTGCTACGATGTGTGTACTTGTTTCAGAGCGAGGAGGCCCTGCTGGCCACGCGACTGGTGATGCCCCCTTCCCCCGGCTCCACCGCCTTCCTGTACAACCAGGAACTGGTGTTTGCGTGCTCAACGGGCACCAGCAGGGGAGCGCTGCCCGATGAGAAGATCAGTTTTAACTCAGCAGGTGAGTTGCTTGCTCCCAGTTTGGAAGATCTCCAGCTCATGAAGTCAACAACATAAGTGTGCGTATAGGTCTCAGGCCCGATGCCCATCGTCCAAGCAAACCCAAAGAATGAGATCAATCTACGCTGACATCTGTCTCTTTAGGTGACGGCGTCTATGGAGGCGGCTGCTGTGCCAACCTGCCCGTATTTTTCTCCCAGAAGAGCGGCCTGGTTGCGGTGGTGGCCAAAGAGACGGCGTCCATCCTGCCAGAGACCATGGAGGACTCGCTGTGCTCTTCACTGGCTGCAGCCCCAGAGGTAAACCTGCCCCAGGACACCCGCACGGTCCTGCATTTGATCAGCAGTCAGCCCTTTTAAGTCGCGCCTGTAGTTATAGGGAGAAATGCCAGTGAGCCATGTTTTGTGTCTGTTAAAGGTTTCTGTCATGGAGACTCCAGTCCGAGGAGAGCCTGTAGCCCAGGAGGACAAGACAAAACTCCTAAAAGCTGCCTTCCTGCAGTTCTGTCGGTACGTTCTTTGAAAAAGGTCCCGTCTGTCTTATAACAGGGCATCTGAACCAAAGCAAAGCAGACCAACATGATCCTTGTAGGTCTGTCCATCACCATTTAAAGCTCCACTTCTACAATAGGTTGTACTTCTCAGTATTGTATATTATCTCTAATCCCTGGAAAACTGTTTGATTGGACTAAAGTCTTGAATCCAGTGTTGTCCGTCCATCCCTTGTCTTCTACTTATCCAAACCCAAGTTATAGAGGTGACAGGTTGAAAAGAAAACCTGCACAACCCTCTCCACCACTTCCACCTGGAGGATCGTAGTGCTTTCTAAGCCAGGATGGAATATATAATCCCTCAGATGTCTCTGGTTCTGATCCAGGGGGGCCTCCTCCCAGTTAGATGTGCCTGAAAGACCTCCAAAGGGAGGCATCTCAACCAGACGAACCTCCTCTTTGACTCCTGTCTATGTGGATAAGCAGTGGCTCAGATCTGAGTTCCCTTTAAAGCTCCTCCCAGGTTCCAGTGGGCCACATGGTGAAGAGCAAGGCTCTGAACCCCAAGTTTTCCACCCAGTGTGTGAATGGCACGTAGCGTAAAGGTCCATTCACTGTATGACTCACATTTCTTCCAAATGGTAATAATCTGTATGCACGTTAAACAACATTACCGCCAACTTCATGACAAAATCCTAAAAACACGACTTTGACCGATTAATAAACGATACCCTTGTCCCTGTTTTGTCAGAAACGACCTAATGGGAGCTCAGAGCATCACAGATGAGCTCTTCCCTGCCGACGGCGATGGAGAGGAGGGAGCAGACTTGGACGGCATCGTGACCCAGATCAACCTGGACTTGGTGGACGACTACCCGGCCTCAGATCCTCGCTGGGCCGAGTCTGTCCCTGACGGTGAGCAAAGAGCTGATCAGCACCTCAATAGCAGAATCCCGAAAATAGCATTTTTTTAATTTGCTACTGTAAAAGAAAGTCTTTGGAGTTGCAGGCAGGGCAACTCTCTGTGAGCAACTTTGTGTTGTATCTGGTTTCTGGTCCGTTCAGAGTGCGCTGGGTTTCCTCTTACCTCCCTTATCATCCTCCACCAACTGGAGGACAAGATGAAGGCTCACGGTTGCTTCATGGACTTTCTCCTCCAGGTAAAAACACTGACAACTTTGGTTGTGTACATTAGGCTTTTCCCGATCCGATATTTGGATCGGATCGGCCGCCGATATTCGCAAAAAAATGCGTATTGGCCGGCATGAGAAACTGCAGATCCAGGATTGAGATTCTTTTTTTTTTTTTAAGTCCGATCCCACACGAGCATTAGCATCTCCTAACCCACAGGTCTGTGTCCTAACCATTAAGTTGTTCTAAGCGTAAACCCCTATTCAACATGAGTCTGACAACTAAGTAAGTAACTTTAAACTTTAATAAATGCTCTGATAGGCCGGTATCAGATCAGAAATTAAAAAAGCTGGATCGGGACATCCCTAGTGTACGTCGATACAAAGTCAGGATTCAGCACAGCCCTTTGTGTGTTATATTTTGAATTCATACTGGATTTTTCTTGGATACGCGGTGCCATTTCTGGGCTTTTTCCCGAGTGTTTGTTTCCCCGACGGCTCTGATTTTTCGCCCTCTCCCGTCAGGTGGGTCTGCTGGACCGGCTCAGCCAGGCGACGGTGCGCTCGGCCCCGATGGCCACGCGCCTGCTGCTGTGCGAGCACGCCGAGAAGCTGCAGGCGGCCATGGTGCTGAAGAACTACCACACCAAGCACGGCGAGCTGGTGAACCGGGCCATCGGCGCGGCGGTGCAGGCCGCCGCCTCGGTGCCGCCCAGCCTCACCGTGGCCGACGTCTTCTTCAGAGAGGTGCGTGTCTGCGCGGCGCGGGAGGAGCCGGGGAGATGAGATCGGAAGGGGGGGGCTCACTTGTCGCCCCCGGGGCTTTTCGCAGGTGTCGCAGATCTCCTCCGTGTTCGACTGCCTGCTGGAGGAGGTGGAGCAGGGCCTAAAGGAGGGCCCGGCTGACTCCGTGCAGTCGGCCGAGGTGGTCCTCACGGTCAACAACATCATCAAGGTAAAAACCCCTGAGAGCAAAGAGCCATGAGATGATGATTTTCTTGAACTGCGGTGATGTTTTGGAGTGCTGTGTGCGTGCAGGACATGCTCCAGGCTGCTGGCCAGTACAGGGAGACAAAGGCTTCCGTGTACAGAGCCCCTGAAAATGCCGCCCCAGAGCCCGAGTATGTGCCATGGACAGGTAATCCCACTTCATCCCTACAACAACCAAAGCCCGTTAACCAGTGATGGCAAGATGAAGCTACATAAAGCACTGAAGCGTTCCATCCAATTGGTTCACTCGTGTTTAAGCTTAGGGGTTTCATTTGCTTTATTGTGCCATCAAGTGGACAATAAATGTAAACCGTACAGTGTGATTCTAATGAGACTGGCTTGTCTGAAGCATTGAATTAATAATCAATGATGTTTGTGATGCTGCCGTCCAGGGTGTACCCAGCCTCTCCCCATTAGCTACTGGGATAGGCTCCATTAGGGGATCAGCGGTTACCATAATGTATGGATGGATGTTTGTGATGCTTACACATAAATTATAAACTTTTATATGGTGTCTGTCTTTATGATACAATGACAGGGAAGCTTGAACAGATCGCTAACAAACTCGTAATTAAGTCCCAAGTCCACAAAATGTGAGGGGTGGAGATTCACATCACCAACCGTTATCAGTTTTCGTTCATGAGCCGCAGCGGTAACATGGAAATATGATGACCACTGGTGCCCGCGCCTCTTCCCTCCAGCGTCGGGCGGCGTCCGCACCGTCATCTCCCGCCAGCACGACCTCATCCTGCGCTCGGTCTACCCGCTGGCCGACTCGCAGTTGCGCGGCGTCCTGTGCGAGCAGCTGGTGGCGCTGCTGGACATCTACCTGGGCGGCTACGTGGCCCAGCTCACCTCCCTGCAGCAGCAGCAGAGGCCCACGGGGGCCCAGCAGGAACGCTACAACAGTCTGGAGATGGAATACAGCCAGCGGCGCTCCGAGCTGCTGACCCCTCTGCGTGAGTAGGCCCAAATGCACCCAGTGGAAATGTCATTAAAAGGCACTTTGCTCCAAGCTGCCCATTTTCTGTGTGCTTTTTCTTTTTTTTCGTGGTCATAATTGGGACTGTGTGTTTGCGGTGTGTTTCAGTGGAGCTGGGCCAGTACCAGTGGGTGGCGGCGCTGGCCGAGAAGTACTGCGACTTCGACATTCTGGTCCAGATGTGCGAGCAGACGGACAACCAGAGCCGCCTGCAGCACTACATGGCCAAGTTTGCTGAGCAGGTGCTGTGCTGTAAACGTGTTATTGCTAACATCTGCACAGCAGTCTGTGCTCACCTAAAAGAATGTTAAAAATGTCCCTTTACATTGGAATATAACAATCCCAAACTGCCTTGAGATATTTAATTTAATTTGACTATCAAAAATACATTTACGGATTCAGAGAAGCCGGGGTATGAATGACCCAGGAACACCTATAGAGTGCATAAGGACATAAGCTCGTGCATACATTTCTTATGTGCATGAACTGATGTGCCTTCCAGAAAGTAAACAACCATTGATTTTGGAACCTCTGTTAAAATAACTTATAACCATGACTTACACGATTAAAAGCTTTCAAAGCATCAGTTAAATTACATAAAAAAATATAGAGGTGTGCTTATTGTACAAATGTTAAATCTCCTATAAGGCAAAGATATACAAATCTGTTAAGTTGTAAAGCCAAACTGCTTGTCAGAAGTGAAGAGGGAATGCTCCATCCTGTTCATCTGAGTCCTCTCCGAGATATTAGATAAAGCACTAAAGTGATGGGACAATCACAATTTACCATCATTATCATTTCTAATAGTAACTAACATAACAGGTAGAACTGCCATGGTATGAAAAAACCCAGTGAGACACAGGGATGGCAAAAGATTTTTTTTTTTTTTGCTTGAACTTTGAAACACTCTGCAGACATGTCAGCCGTCTCCCTTAGCCTCTTCATTTTCTTGAATTTGGTTGTATGAAACTCCCATTTTTATGATTAGTGAACCAATAATGTAGTTTGCCTTGGAGTGTCTAGCGCATGAAAACATCTGTTTATTTGGATTACATAAAGCTTTGGTTTCATTTCATTTTCAAAATGAGCGGAGATGGAGCTAAAACACGAAATGCTTTTGTTCAGCTGGAGCCACTCTGACTTCGCTCTCGTTCTTCAGAACTTTGCCGACTTCCTGTTTCGCTGGTACATGGAGAAGGGGAAAAGGGGGAAGCTGCTGTCCCAGCCGGCTGCCCAGCACCAGCAGCTGGCCAGCTTCCTGCAGTCGCACCAGCACCTGAGCTGGCTGCACCACATCCACATCCATGACTACCAGAGTGTAGGTAACACACACACACACATCTCCTCACCTCACACTAAAACTTCTCACAGGTACCTTTTATCAGGCTTGTCTTGTTGTTGGCTATTCTCTGCTTTTTCAAAAGGAAATCTGAGGCTTCAGTTGGTCTGGGTTTGACAAAAAGATTTATCTTAGGAAGTTCCCTGTATTCATGACATATTTCACTGAGCTGTATATGGATAATGCCTCTGATTCTCCAAGCTCATGATCACAGATTGTTATTTTCATTGGAAAAACATCACAATTAGGTCAGAAGAGCCGTTTTATCGAGGCCTTTTTCTTTCCATTAGTTCTAACCAGCACATGAGAGGAAAATCTGTCATTTAGGGGTCCATTAGAAAATAATCCGGAAGCCGGATGTTGTGTCTGTGCAGGCCCACCGGACTCTGTACAGCCAGGCCAACATGGAGACGCGTTACTTTGTGAAGAAGAAGACCCTGCTGGCTCTCAGTAAGCTGACCGCGCTGGCCTCAGACCTGCCCGAGGACAAGCTCAACGAGCAGATTGATGGTAAAAACACAAACTAAATGTTCAACGTTTCAATAATCCTAAAAACACAACTGCATGAGAACCGTTTCCATCAGAGATGCTGTTTTAATCGGCACCACTTTGAATGAAGGATCCGATTTAAGCCCCTTTACACAACATTAAGGCGTTGCAAATGGAAAAGTAAATTTCTTAAATTCAGCTAAACTGCCATTCTCTGATACCAGTGACTTTGACGAGGCGGCTGTGTGAACGATTGCCCACATCTCCATTCAAATGCCATTTCTCCTGCTCTTCCTGGTAGATCCTGACACTTCCAACAGCTAAATGAGCACCTTTACTCCCCCGGTATTGTTTGGGTGTAAACTCATGGGTGTGCCACCCAAAATGGCGGCCCATGGATCATTTGTGTTGCTAGTCGGCTGTAGTTTGGCCCTAACTGGCACACCCTAACCTAGGTAATCCTGTTTGTTCTGTGTAAAGACAGATAGGTTGACCAGCTCTGCGTGTGGGTGCACATGAGCTGGCTTCATTCATTCCTCAACGAATATCCAGACAGGATGTAACATCCTTTAAACGCACGACCCCCTCGAGGGTGATTTAGGTCACTCAAACTCGGCCTGGAAGCGCTTTGATTTTTGCGGTTTGTGTGTTTGGCCAGATATTGTGGAACAGGAGCGCTTCCTGCTTCATCAGGAGACTCTGCCCAGACAGCTGCTGGAGGAGAAAGAGCAGAACCCAGACACCATGCCTCTGCTCTCGGCTCACAACCTCATACAGGTTAGAACAACCTGCACACACACACCAGACGCAGCGTGGGCAAAGAATAGATGGGGGGAGCAGATTCTGATGACTCTTTAGACACATTTAGGGACAAGCCGGTCTTTTTGCGGGATTCCTAACCCATTATACAGATCATTTCCACAATTTGAGCTATTATCTGAACTCATTTAACAAAAATAGAATGGCAAGTAGCAGGTTCCGTGGTTTGATTGAATCCAACTCGATAGCCAGGAGGAGAGAAGTCCAAATGAAGAAGTTATTGGACTTTTAAAAGCCGTGAAAAAAACTGAGAGGTCTCCTTTGTCTCGAGCAGCTGTACATCAGCGACGACAACAGGCGGGCCAACGAGTACGACTTCAAAAAGGCTCTGGACCTGCTGGAGTACATCGAGGAGGTAAAGTCCGGCCGCACTCCGCGGGCCGCCCAAGGGCCAGAGCCGCGCGGCTAAAGCCCACTCTCTTGCAGGAGGACGCCGTGGACACCAACGCGCTCAAATGCGAGATCTTCGGCAAAGCGCTCCGGAGGGACGAGTAAGCTCTATTTTTCTGTTCAGCCACGACCGGAAGACCGAGGCTTTGCTCAAAGCAGAGCGGCTCCGGCTACCATTGGCTAACATTGGCTAGCATCTGCTGTGCTGCTTCAGCCATGATGTCTTTAGGATTTGTGTAAGAATCGTTGGAAATGTGATTCAGGGTCTACTCTGTGGTCTGACCATCTTAACTTCCTCTCAGCTGGTCCTCCGCCGACGGGAATGACAACCCTCTGGACGCAGCCAAGGACAGCATCTTTGTCAAGATCCTCCTGAAACTCATTCAAGAAGGTGAGAAACATCCACCCACTCTAAACAACAAATCATCACATTCTCAGTCTGAGGCTCAGATCGAGCATCTCGAGGATATGGAGATATTTACTTTTTAGATAATTGGGATTCGCACAAACATCTCCAGCTAATAAACAACAAGAGACCATCTCAGGCTAACAGTCTGGATTCTTATGAACCGAAAAGTGTCTAATTAATCTCTGGATTATAAAGGTCAGGAGCTTTATTGAACCGCGTAAGTTTGTGAGACATTAATATGCACACATTGCTAAGATGTACATTCAAAATCGACCTAACGTCGATAGCCAGACACGTGTTCGGTTTCCTCACGTTGGGCTTTGGATTGTGTGGCGTGGGGGGGTCGCTCTGGGATATTGACCATTAGAAAATGAACCCTCTGTCCTCCAGGTGTTCCTCTGGACACGTACCTGCCGGACGTCAAAGAGCTGCTGGAGCTGGACGACCTGAGCAGCTTTAGATCAAAGCCCTATTTTGAGTTCGTCCTTCGAGCTAATTATGAACATTATCTTCAAGTTCAGATGTGACGACTCGGAAGATTTGTTCTCCAGCAAAGCTTACGGCCCTTCATACTTCACATTTAAGTGTGCTTTTTTCTAAATAAATACACTATTTCCATATCCTGTGATGTTTTTGTTTTCCTATCTAAGCCTCCAGGCTCCTGATATTAGCTCAATGTTTCCTTCCTTAATTAGCTGATATGGTTCTAAAGCTGTCACAGTCACAAAGATGAATTATTTTCTGTAATGGGATCGTTTAAACTTCAATCTTCAGACCTTCTGAATCAGCACCTAGTCAGAGCCAGAAAGACCTCCGAGGCTGCCACCGTTAGTCAGCACTCCCTCCTGTGGGGCGATAAGGGACAGATTCTGGTTTTAAATAGGCCTGGCCTCCTTAGCTGACAGAGATGCTCCACTTTTCCGACTACGGAGGCTGCAGGCGGCTCTCAGGGTCCTTCTCTCAATCTGGAACCTGATTCTCTGCCTCTTAGGAAGTGTCCTTATAGACCTCACACACACCTGAACTGAACATTGTCAGAAATAGATTTATTCTACCTTTTTAAAACAAATCTTTTTTTAATCATGCCGTTGTTAATTTTAAACTCATTTATTTAAGTCCATTTTTGTGATGAGGCTTCAACAAGATGTTTTTGGTTAGGACTGAACTTTGTGGTTTTAGTTTAGGCAATCGTTTTTTACCTTTAAGAAATCCTGTAAGTTTTAAGTGGAACCAACCTTCAGGTTCACTTTGCTCCAAGTTAACAGCTTTAAATTTAACTGATTTTAGTTTCAATATTTGTTTAAAACGCAAAGGGGACGGTCACAAACGGACAGTTGGTCTTGATTTCTTTTTTAAAAGTACAGATGTGTTGAATGGATAGATTGCATCCTTTTAAACAGACTAGTTGCCACAGGGGAAGCCTGCATCCATCCTCAGTCTAAAAATACAAAAAGAATATTCCGCCACCGGCATTATAGAGTCTGCTGGTAAAATGGACTGATGATGTGGGTGTGTGTGTGTGTCAGTACTCTGAAAATGTTCCACTACAAGAACTAGAGAAAACCAAAAGGATAAAGTGACCATACACTGGAGGAAAGGAAGTGGAAGTAAAAGGGAACTTGAATGTTTGCATTGAACTGTGAGAAAACACAAGTACAGCAAAGGCATGAATAAAGAAAATTAACTGTAACAAATTTTGAATTAAAACTAATAGCAGACAAATGTAAGTATTACCTACAAACATCTCATGGTACAATGAAAATAGGAGTTGGAAGGACGTGATCTTAATTTAAAAAAAAATCAGATGAATACAAACATTTACTGGCAAAGCTTAATTGCCACAAAGCAGCTTATTCCGGGAAGTGACTACTCCTCTACCACATTTCTTAAATTCATTTGTTGGAGAACAAGGAAACTGTCCAAAACCTGCAGGACCAGAGAGGTTAGGATAGGAAGCTTTCCTTTTATTTTATTTTGGATTCCTGGATCTGCCCAGCTGAGGTAAATGTGGAGATCATTCATCCATAAAAGATCCCCAAGAATCCTCCTTAAATATGTTGCTGCTGATGGTTCGAATGCCTTTCTGGGTAAAGTGTGAAGGAGAGAGGTACTCCTGTCACCAGACATCTGCACAATGTCTGGTGATTGTGATTGTGACGACAGCTGAGTCGGTTTCGCCTCAACATCCATTTAAAGCTTCGTCTGACTCCCGTGGATCCCGACTCCTCCGTGGAGCCGGTTATTAGCTGGGTAAACACTGCTGGGCCTTTGGGCCGGTTTTCCCACACTGGAATGCCTCATCGGCCGGCAGCTGTCGGATATTTCAGAGGTCCAGAGCCTCTTCTTTCAAAAACAGAAGCCTCGATTTATATCAGCTTCTTTACAAACACTGATTCAGTCCTTGATTTAAAAAAATAACTGGGTCAATCTCAGGATATCAATCTGTATTTCTAAATGTTTCCTTCATCACAGACTTGTTTCGGATGCATGTCTTCAACACAGTTGCTTTTATGAAAAAGACAAAAAGGTCATTTAGGTTTTTTTTTTTGTATGTCAAGGAAGTGCCTAAATATTGAAATTAGTTTTTAGTTTGTGTAGCATCCCATTTGAAATTTACTCTCCATTTTTTCATCTGTCATGGTCATGGATACAATCTTTTTTAGCCACTTCAGTCCTGATTAAAACTTTAAAATGTAGATAATTATCTGGATTCTAACCCCTTAAATACCAGTTTGGTTGAATGGTGCTGAATGTAAACATTCCTGATAAATCAGTGTCTTATAAATATTTTTATCAGCCCTTGGTATTCAGGACACAAATGATATCAGTGTGTAGATAATTTTTTATTTAAGAGGTAAATTTCCTACACAATGGTTATAGTATGGATCCACATGGACAAGTATTAACAGAAAGATTTGGTGTTTAAAGGGGTTGGAACCCCTATAAAAAATTTTTTTTAACTTAAGTCAAAATGTATGTGAGTTAGGGTTTCATTTTTAAGCAAAATTGCCAAATGTGTTATTTTTAACTGTGAATACCAATTATATGGTCTAATAGTCTTTACCCTCAGAACTGGACAACTAGCATCTTTCCAGTGCGTTTTTGAGTTGTGTGAAACTTTTTTTTCTTTAGATTAATTCAACTTTGTGGGGTTGTTTATTCGTCCCAGGTTGTCAGCTTCAGCTATAATCTGGTTATTTGCCCCAACTATTTAGAATATTTCATTCAAACATAACTGAAAAACGCGCTGTTTGGGTGGGAGTGTGTGTCAGTCGGGGGGGCTCGCGCGGCTCCGCGTGGACCCTGTGTCCATACACGGGCTCGTGCGCTCCGTGCCGGAGCCGCTCGTGCATCCTCGCCATATATGTACCGGCCGGCGCGCGAGCCTCTGCGTGCCTGCCCGCGCGGCGAACCTCGCGCGCGACCAAATATGGACGAAGGGCCGGTCGAATTCCTGTGGAATACTCGGACATTCCGAAGGACTCAACGAGGCCTGCGGAGGAGAGGGCGTATAAAAGAACCCCGGCGGTTTCCCTGTCGGTTACCCCCAAAAGCTGGAGGCAGCAGCGGCTCGACACCTCCCTGACAGCCCCGGACAGGCGGAGGTAAGCGGCCCGGAGGAGCTGGGTAGCTAGGTGGATGGAGGATGGGGGGGGCGAAGGGGAGGGTCGACCCACTCGGAGTTAATAGTTTCTGGCTCGTTGTTTGGGACGCAGGAGAAGAGCAGATGGAGAATAATCCGCGCTAAGTGGTCAACTAATGGCTGCTGGCAGAGAACCGAAGTCTGCATCGGTTCAGCTCCATAAAAAGAGAAAAAAAAGTTAGCTTTTGTTGTGACAGGCGGAGGAAAGTCTTCAGGGGAGCTGGCGCTGCTGCGTTTAAAGGCTGTCGGAACTATTTATTAGTTTCTCATAAATGACAGGGTTAAGCCCAATCAGTGCTCTTTAAACAATATTATGATTAAGAATCTGTCAATCATGTGATCTGAAAGTGAAAATTGGACAGCATGCAGAGTATTTCACAGATAGTTCCCAATAAATATATTAGACGGAGGCATTTGCATGTTATATTTGAAGCCACTAAACTAAAGAAACTGTCCTCTGTTGGTGAATGACACAGTCCAGAAGCTGCAGAGCTTGAGGGAGTTGTTCATCATGGCTGAGTATTCAGACGATGTTCTTTATGACATAAATATTCTTAGTGGTCTGTTTATATATAACAGCTTCTTGGTGTTTTTGTTGTGTTAGTTCAAAGCTGGAGACAGATCCACAGCTCATAGCATAATGGGAATTTTGTTTTAGAGCTGCCAAGATTAGTGAGCTGAATAATCTCGACCATTAACAGTTCAAACATCTCTCTTGAAGACGTTAGTCAGCAGCAGGATGCATACAGAGGCTGAACTAGATCAGCGACGTTATAGAAACACAAACCCAAAGCTCAGATTTGTGCGGATCTCCGTGTGAAACTCTGCTGAGTTTCCCTGCCCAACAGACTCCTCCTCAACCCCCTCTCCTGACGCAGAATCGGCAGACATGTGTGACGACGACGAGACCACCGCCCTGGTGTGCGACAACGGCTCCGGCTTGGTGAAGGCTGGCTTCGCTGGGGACGATGCTCCCAGGGCCGTGTTCCCCTCCATCGTCGGCCGCCCCCGTCACCAGGTACGGTGGAGCCACCGCACCACAGAAATTCAATTACATTTTATTTCTTTAGCGCCAAATCACAGCAACAGTTATCTCCCAGCGCTTTTCAAACCGAGCAGGTCTGAGTTATTTACAGAAGCCCAACAGTTCCTACCAAGAGCAAGCACTAGGCGACACAGGGAAGGAAAAACTTCCTTTTAAGAGGGAGAAACCTGGAGCAGAACCATGGCTCAGGGTGGGAGGCCATCTGCCTCGACCGGCTGGGGGTGAGTGAGAGAGGGAGCGCAAGAGAGAAAGAGGGGAGAGCAAGAGAGAGAGAGAGAGAGAGAGAAGGACAGAGGGAGCAGGGGGAGGCAGCCTACACAGTAACACATACACTGGATGAAAAATGGTAAAGATATTGATAGTAATGAAAATGATAGCAGTAATAGTAGCTATAAGACTATGAACATTGGTTGTAATTGTAGCAGAGTAAGAACAGGGGGGCAAAGGGAGACTTCCAACCACAGATCCAGAAAGAAATCGTTTGAAAGGAAACCCACATCCCTGTTTCTTTGCTCATTAGGTCTGTTTCCTGTCTGTATCTGTCGAATTAACTCTGTTCTGGATCTGATTTGAGCTTTTATTTCCACCTTTTCTGGATGTTTTCACCCTTTAAATCTGGCAGTAGAGCACAGTTTATCTGGATGAAGCTGTAAACTTCACTACACAGATAATATGCCAGTGTCAGATATGAACTGTCCCCCCCCTCACAGGGTGTGATGGTCGGCATGGGTCAGAAGGACTCCTACGTAGGCGACGAGGCCCAGAGCAAAAGGGGCATCCTGACCCTGAAGTACCCCATCGAGCACGGCATCATCACCAACTGGGACGACATGGAGAAGATCTGGCACCACACCTTCTACAACGAGCTGCGCGTGGCCCCCGAGGAGCACCCCACCCTGCTGACGGAGGCCCCGCTCAACCCCAAAGCCAACCGGGAGAAGATGACGCAGATCATGTTCGAGACCTTCAATGTACCCGCCATGTACGTGGCCATCCAGGCCGTGCTGTCCCTCTACGCCTCCGGCCGCACCACAGGTCAGTCGGAGCCTCACCGCGTGCACGCTCCCTCTCAGAGCTGGGAGAAAACAGATAAAATAACAGACCAATCCCCCCCCACCCCAGCTTTAAAGGTACACGGTGTAGGAATTTCTCCATCTAACGGTGTACTTCTATTCAAATGGGTATTACATGGGTCAAAAAGTGGTGACATCATGACTTCCGCATCATCCAGTTTTCTCTGGGTGATGAGGTTTCTATTCTAAAAAAAATGTTTATTTAAATTAATTAATTAGATTAATTGAAAAATTAATTAATCTAAAAGAAATTTCAGTCACTGGCTCTGAAGGAAAACGCGTTGTGGATTAGCTAGACAGGGAGACTAGTGCTTTATGTCCCTCTCTGCCATTACAGTTTTTCAAAATGGCGTATCGCCATGGAAACCTCCGTGAATTTACCCGTCTTGTGTACATAGAGATTGGAAATTCTTCACTTACACATTTAGAAACGTAGACAATGATTTTAGTTAATTAAATACTTAAAATACTACACTGCTCTGTGGCTGAAACTGTGCCTTCAGGGAGGTTTCCCGTGGCTGGTCACCCTGATTTTAAAAGTCTCCTCCGCCCCTCAGGTATCGTGCTGGACTCTGGTGACGGGGTGACCCACAACGTGCCCATCTACGAGGGCTACGCGCTTCCCCACGCCATCATGCGTCTGGACCTGGCCGGTCGGGATCTGACCGACTACCTCATGAAGATCCTGACAGAGCGCGGCTACTCCTTTGTCACCACAGGTAAAACCGGACCAGAAACAGGCCGTTCTGGTCGTTTTTTCCCCCTGTTTTCTGCTGTTCTCACCGATCCGTTCGGGGGTTTCCAGCCGAGCGTGAAATCGTGCGCGACATCAAGGAGAAGCTCTGCTACGTGGCTCTGGACTTCGAGAACGAGATGGCCACCGCCGCCTCCTCCTCCTCCCTGGAGAAGAGCTACGAGCTGCCCGACGGCCAGGTCATCACCATCGGCAACGAGCGCTTCCGCTGCCCGGAGACGCTCTTCCAGCCCTCCTTCATCGGTGCGTCGGCTGGTTGGAAACCGATTTCCTACCGAGGAGAAAGACGGCGAAGCTCTCACTTCATTTGAGCCTTTCTGTCGTGCTCCTGAACAGGGATGGAGTCGGCCGGCATCCACGAGACGGCCTACAACAGCATCATGAAGTGCGACATCGACATCCGGAAGGACTTGTACGCCAACAACGTGCTGTCCGGGGGCACCACCATGTACCCGGGCATCGCTGACCGCATGCAGAAGGAGATCACCGCTCTGGCTCCCAGCACCATGAAGATCAAGGTAAATACTAGTAGAGCATCAGCCCTCCTAACTGATACAAACAGTAAAGCAGATTAGATGAGAATGTCAGTGCTGTTTTATCTGAGACAGAAAAATCAACCAAAACCTTCACTCACTGAAGTATGTATTTTATGATATCAGTAAAAGAGGAAAGTAATTATTTACTCATTTTCTGCTCACAAATTAATTGAATCTGTCTTTAACCTGCAATTTTGAAGCAATTTCATGAAGTTAGATCAAATAAAAGCCAAAATAAAGCATGCTGGAAATCAACTGATAGAACAGAGAATAATACGTTTTTTTTCTGTGTGTAATTGTATGACATGAAAAGCTCTCTTATGACCAAATGTGGCGTCCTGTTTTCCCCGTGTGCAGATCATCGCTCCCCCCGAGCGTAAATATTCCGTTTGGATCGGCGGCTCCATTCTGGCCTCCCTCTCCACCTTCCAGCAGATGTGGATCAGCAAACAGGAGTACGACGAGGCCGGCCCCAGCATCGTCCACCGCAAGTGCTTCTAAACGCTGCCCCCGCAGGAGCTCCGGTTCAGGATCCAAACCGACGAGGTGCCATCTCCCAGAACCTTTGAAACAACATTTTCCCCCCGAGAAGATGCTTCTTTTCCACCAGCGGGGAGCGGGTAGCGCCTCACCTGTACATACTTATTTATTCCCTCTTGTATGGATGTGTCCAGTGTGTGTGTGTGTATGAATGTCTGACGAATGCAGATGAACGAATACAGAAAAAAAAAACACAAAAAGACCAAAAATGAAATGTGTCGTAACAAATAAAAGTAATGCTTTGTTTCCGACGACTGCTGTGTGCTACTTTTCAGACCGGCTCTTATCATGCCGTCCACGTCCAAGCAACCAATTTAATGGTCCCAGTTTTGAACCGACAGCATTCCACAGCCACAGACAGAAGAGGTCCTCTGGTGTGACCACGCTGAGCGTGCAGAAGTCAGTCATAACACACTCAGAACGTATAAAACATAGAAAATTAAAGGCTAAAGACTTATTACACAACTGTTAGAAATTAAGGAAAAGGTCAAACAGTCAAAGGCTTGCCCATTATTACTGATCAGTCACATTATCGGTTCAATTTTAAACTAATAAGTAAAGCCAGATAAACCATGTTTGACTTCAGAGGTCTTCAGGATGATCAAAGAATTTCTAAATAATATAAATTGCGACTGTGAGCCAAAACTCAACCACAGCATCTGAAATAAAAACACATGCACCAAAAAGTTATGAGCAGTTTGAATGAAAAGATCCACTCTGGAGCAGAGAGTCTCTCCTCTGTACTGCTGAAAGTCGTTCATTGGTTCAGTACCTCTCCTCCACCGTGCAGAGAGAGGCGGAGCACGCATGCGCAGCCTGCTCCCCGCATCTTAATGGAAAATCATATTTTGGTCTTTATTACTACGTTCGTGCACGTCCTCCACCCAAGCAGCCGTAAACACCAGCACAAACACACTAACACTAACACACCGGAAGAGGAAGAGGGGTCTTTCAGAATAAGAACCTGCTCTTTTTTGTCTGATGCCACTTTTGACTTGACATTCTACTTTCACCCCACATCATTTTAAAGGGAGTTTACATTAAAAGAAAATAATATTTGAATTGTTTTTATTCCTCCAACGGTACAAACGGTACGGTATGTCGGCCTGTTAGGTTTCTTATATTTCTCAGGATTATTTGGTATAGAAAATTAATTTCTTCATAGAATCAGGATATTTCAATTAACTGAATATATTGAAATGAAATGTATCTTGATCTGGTTTAGTCTGAAGAAAAACGTCATAGAATTGTTCATTTATGAGGAGGTCGGGCTTAGATCATACAAATGAAATCAGACCTTGTTTCAGTTGAGCTGATGGGCATTATTGTGAAGCCACAGCCGGAAGCCCCGTGAGGCTCTGCTGGCTCCGTGGAATCATCTGTCAGCGGGGCGATGCTCACCATCTGACGGCCGGAACCTCAGGCGGGGTCCAAAGAGCGAAGCCCCGGGGGGACGCAGATCAGGGTGAGTGAATGGACGTGGCACCTTTAAAAAAACGAATTTCGGTGTGTTTCCACCAGGCAGGTGGGGATGCTGGGGGCTGTGGACACGGCTGGAGCCTGTTTGCACACGGTCATCCATATCCAGACCCTTTATTTTATTGTTTTTTTCCTATTTACGCGCATGCATAATATTTATATGCATGCGTAATATTTATATACACGCATAAAATTTAATTTCCTGCAGTGTATTTTCCATCTGAAGTCCCTAAACGCGGGGGCGACTGAGGATTTTGAGCCCCCCCGAAGCCACGGACACAGCAAATGCGTTTGGTTTATGAGGAAAATGACACACTTTCTGTCATTTTAACAGCAAATAGATTATGAAGATACACACAGTTCTGTTTTTTAGTCTTTCATAAGACGTCGGACAGCTCAAAGAAGCGAATTGCTCATGTTCACCACAGGTTCCAGTTATGAAAACAGAAAATGACACAGAGGTTCCAGGTATGAGCACAGAAAATGACAGGTGTGTGTGTGTGCGTGTGTGTGTGCGGAAGGACTCCTGACCAAAATAGATGCTGCTCTGCTGTGAGTAAGAACTGTGCCATAGTCAATAGTAAAAGCTGTAAAGCTGTCGTAAGCCTCAATCCTCTGCTCAGAGGTAATCTGTGGAGGGAGGGGGGGGGCGGGGCTTACTCCAGGTGAACCGCACCTTTTGAGCTAAATCACCAGAACAAGGACCATGAATGAGATTGTGTTTGACTGGATTTAAATCCGTACTTTCCTACTACCAGGACTGGATTTGCTCACCCAAAACAGAAGACGTTTGCATGGAGATGGGTTGTAAGGGCTCAAATTCTGAGAGATTTAACGGGTTTTGGTGAGAGGTTAAAAGGGCTGAGGGACATTTTGAGGTTCATAAAAGGAAGTTTTTCCTTGCCTGTGTCGCCTAGTGCTTGCTCACGGTGGGAATTGTTGGGTTTCTGTAATTAACTTCAGAGTAGGGTCTGACCTGCTCTGTTTGGAAAGCGCTGTGAGACAACTGTTGTTGTGATGTGGCGCTGAATAAATAAAATTGAATTGAATTGATTTAAACAACAGGTTTCAAATCCGGAGTCAACTCAAAGTGCTCCGTTCAGTATGAGAACACCAAAAGGAGGAAACGGCCTCTGAGAGACTGTCGCTATGTGAACTGGACCTGATGGACATGTGAGCCACGGCGAAACCCGACCCACCGTCTCCTTTGTGCTGGAAGCATTGATAAGGTCTGTCTGAGGTTCTGATGGTGATCAGGTTACAGTTCTGCTCCCTGAACCCGGACTGGTTCCATAGAGGGGGGGTTTAATTATTTTATTCATCAGTATCCTTTAGGTTTTTTTTGGTCAACTGTATCCCAGAATTTAAGATTTGTCTCATTGGTGCTAATAGCCATTGGTGTTTTTTTTTTTTTCATCCACAGAGCTCTGGACCAAAGACGGACAATAGCCGGAACCATGGTGACTAAAAAGGTCAGGACGGAATACATGAAGAAGTTCAGGGACCCGAAGTGGGAGACTTTTTCGAAGTGTTACGAAGACTCTGTGAAGTATCGTCTGACCCGACGGGTGATGGAACACTCCCACCGGCCCTGGTTCTGGGAGGGCTGGGACAGCCGCTCGGACTCCAGCGGGTGGTCCACGCCGAGGATGGCCTGCAACAAGGTGGCCCCTCTCTCCCTCCCGCTGCCGCCCACGTCCTCGGAAGTCAAGCAGAGGCTTTTGGAGTCCAAGGCCCGCCCTGTGCCGGAGCAGATCTCTGAGGATGCGGGGGCCGAAGAAGCAAGGGAAGCTCCGGTTGTAGACCCTGTGCCGACCACAGGTGAGCAAATGTTGTCAGAAGTTATACACCAGAACTGGAAAAACTCAACAGAGTTTAGTTCTAAAACAGGGAGTCGATTTGGTTTTGGGACAAGTAACTTGTGAGTTGTTTGCCTTCTAGTAAATAGGGCAGATGACCATTATTGTATTAATATTCTTGCCTTCCCGCTCTACACCGTTCCAGCTCATGAAGCTATCATTCCGGTGTTGGCGACACTGATGACGTTGACCTAGTTATATTTAATTACAAATATGATTCTCCCCCTTTCTCAGGTAAAACACTCGTCAACAGAGAAGCTTGAGCTAAAACTAAAAACTGAAAGGGATGGAATGGTTCTCCAACAACAGAGCTAATGGGGCATTCATGAGTTGTGAAATACTGTTGGGGGGACGGGAGGCTGGAGACGAAAATCCTCGTACCTTTGGGCTTTCTAGTGTTAAAAAAACTACCCGGATTTAGCTCATCTCTGGGTTATTGTACATGACCTTTCAGAGCAGCTGTTTGGCCAAAAGGGAACATTTAAAAACGTAGACGCATTAGAGTGACTGAAAGCGTAAAAAGCAGGCAGATTTTGTGAGTACTTGTTAATCCAGCCGAATCCCAAATCAAGCTGCTCCCATGTTCAGATTTTGTCAGTCTGAAAGTGGGACTGAGAGTCAGGTCGGCTTAACTCAACTTCAGACTGCTGCTCTGCCTTTGAACTGCCAAAGGGGCACGATGTCGGACGGCTATCCTCTCACGTACGATGAGAGAAAGGTGAAGGCAGCAGCGAATTTTGAATGTCCTGAAACTGAGCAGCGATTGGCCGACCCGTGCGCATCCACAGGGAGAGCCTTTGTCGTAGCTCTGGGAGCTCGCATTAGATCAGGCTGGATCAGGCTGTTCCTGAAACAGCCAGGTCCCTAGATCCTGTTGCGGTCCCATGATTGCTCCAACACCCTCCTGACAGCCCTACGAATGGGCCTCCTACTGGCCTCCTAACAGGGCTCCCAACGGCTTCCTGGAGAAAAGTCGGGTTTAGTCAGTACGGTGTCATGGGTCACTCCAGGGCCAGTTTAGAGACCTGTTCCCTGTCAGTGTAAAACTGTCCCAGACTCGATTTACGACAAAGATCTGATACTGGATTTTGGTTCCTAAAGCGGAAAATGGAGACGGTGGCGCGAACGAGGCCGACAAAGCTCCCGTGAGCAGCAGCGGACCCTCAGATGACGCCGAGACGGACCGGGGGCCGGCCGACTCTTCCTCGGACGGGGAGCCGCCGAAGGCCGAGACCCAGAGACCCCGCCGCCGCCGCCGCACCCCCCAGTCAGAGCCGGGACGGCCCGACAGCTCCCACGACGACACGCCGGCCGTGCGGAAAAAGCCCCCGAGAGCCAAGAGCCAACCCCCGGTCAGCACCAAGGAGAGCCTGAGACCCCCCGGCCGACTGGACTGGACCGAGAGGCACGCTGAGGTAAGGCCGAAAACATCCATCCATCCATTTTCGTAAGCGCTTATTCCCTAATGGGTTCAAGTCCGAGGGGTAACCAGGACCTTTCTGGGTGGAGTCTGCATGTTCTGTGTCTGTGGGTTCTCTCCGGGTTCTCTGGCCTCCTCCCACCGTCCAAAAACCTGCATGTTAGGTCGATTGGACACTCCAAACTACCCTTAGGAGTGAGTGTGGTGGTTGTTCATGGTTGTGTGTCTCTATGTGGCACTGCGATGGACTGGCGGACCGTCCAGGGTGTACCTCGGGGATGCCCAAAGTCGGTCTTCGAGGGCTGCTGTCCTGCTGGTTTTTAGATGTTTTCCCTGCTTCAACACACCTGACACTGGTCAGGGTGCCCTCATGAGGATAGTGCAGACCCTTTGAACTGACCCACTTAATCAGAATCGGGTGTGTTGAAGCAGGGAAACTTCTAAAACCTGCAGGACGGAGGCCCTCGAAGACCAACTTAGGGCACCCCCGGGGTACACCCTGGATGGTCCGCCAGTCTATCGCAGGGCCACACAGAGACACACAACCGCAGACAACCACGCACACTCACCCCTAAGGGCAGTTTGGGACGTCCGATCGACCTAACACCTAACACGCAGTGGGAGAAAGCCGGAGAACCCGGAGAGAACCCACGCAGACACAGGGAGAACATGCGGAAAGGTCCCGGTTCCCCCTGGGATTTGAACCCAGCACCTTCTAGGTGTCCGGCAAAAGACAAGATGTTAGCTTACTCATTTGTCCATGCTCCACACAGCCCCCGTTTAGCCGGCTGTGCTCCCTTAGCCTGTCTTTTGTTATTTTGGCTCACAGACAACCAGAGCAGTGGCCGTGGTCACTCCTCCGCAGCCATTAATAATCCACCAAGCGGTGTGCTTTTCAGAAACAGACCTCTCTCTGGTTTCAGGCCCGGGCGCCCAGCGTGAGCGCGCCGCCCCGCCGGGAGGCCGACAAGCGCAGCTGCAACCCGGACCGCCGGCGCGCCCGATCGGCCGACCTGGACAAGGTCCGGCACTCGCAGCTAACGGTCGCGGATGACCGGTGGATGACGGAGTACATGCGCTGCTTCTCAGCCCGGCTCAGGTAGAGACGGGAGCCAAAGGTGTCTGTGGGATAAGAGGCCTCGGATCAGAGCAACACGGCTCAAAGTTAAGAAGTGGGCGGAGCCGCCTCTAGGGAAGGAAATGTACCACAGCACTGCTGCTGATAGGAAAAGGAGGAAAAGGATACGTTTGGTTTCTGCCACCATTTTCACGACAGCTTCTCTGTTTCTGCTTTTGGGACTAAACTCGTGAAAAGGGGAGTTTGCGTGTTGTTCCATTCTCTTAGCCCAGTGGTTCTTAACCTGTGATCTATCGAACCCTCAGGGGCTAATACTGTTAGCCCGATTCTTTAGTTCGAAACCTGAGAATAAACCAGAGTAGATCAAAAGTATAAAAATGACATGTATTAGGTCACAGGCAAAAAAACTCTCTCTGGGTCTCAGTCGGCAAAGAGCCCTGAGATCTGGGTGTGATGGGCATTGTCTCTTCAAAGGAGGACCTGACATAACCAAGTCCTATTGGCTAGTTAGCTCAGAGCATAAACAGGCCAGGTCCTAATTCATGCAGATTACATTGGAATGTGGTAACAAATGGTGTATGTGTGTGTGTGTTTACCTAAAGATGTGGATCTAATGCAACAGAAAAAGAAAAAGAGAATTTGTGGTTACAGCCAGAGACTTTAACACAAAACTATAGTTCTAAAAACAATAAGACAATCAGTAATTTACATGGATTATTTTATAGCATACAGTGCTAAAATAAGTAATTATAGCCACATTCTATCAATACTAAATGTGTCAGGCAAAAAAAGAAAATCCTGTCTGCATGATTGGGATGCAGTCCCAAGCTGAGCAACTCTCAAAAAATGTAGTTATTTAACAATGTTAAATTCTTTTAAAAAATCCAAATTTATTTTCAATTAGTAAAATTGTATTAATGATATTTTTGGGGGCTGAAATTCTTTTATTGGCCCGAAATAATTTTTGGGGGGTGCCAGAATAAAGTAATATGGTAATTTGTTGTGAGTTCATGCACTGTGTTGGTTTTGTTGATGTTCATGTACGGCTCATTTTGTGCACCCGTAAAATCATATTTTATCTATCACTAAAGATGGGTTCAGTGAATGAGTGTGTTAAGCTGGAGGGGTTCGGTACATCAAAAAAGGTTAAGAACCACTCTGTTAGGCTCACGGGGCTCTTCAGCCTCAGCTCTCAGTTGATTAGAAAACAGGAAAAAACAGGAACGAGCATCAGTCCCCGGCAGTCTGCGGCTCTCAGAGCTGAAGCCTGGACCACCAACAGGGGGGGGGGCTTCTTCGCTCACCACCCGAAGCTCTTTTTGGGTCATTTTGATCTATTAGAACGCTTAAACAACCCCTGGAACAGCTTCCCAACAACTGATCCCCTAGCCCACTTCTTTACTTTATTCCACATCATGTACAACAATATGGAGAACTAACTAGACAGCAGAGTCTCATGGGAAATGTTTGCAGTTTGGGGGTAAAATGCTCTTTTTAGAACAAATGTATATTTTTTACCAGACAAACTATGTAAAACATTTATGTTTAAGTGCCAGGCTTTGTTCATTTTATGGCACGTGCACATGTCTGGTTGAGCTGAATGAATCCCAAGAAGTCCCACAGTAACGAACAAACCACTGGAATTAGACTTTCTGAGTTTTTCTCCACACGCCCGTCAAGAATGTTCTTTATTTCTCACCTGGAAGAAAACACGTTTAGATTTTTGGGTTCTCGAGGCAGCTGAGTGTTTCCAATTCCAAAAGGCATTAGACCGGACCAAACGAGAATATTTTTGATATCTCAGTATTTTACATTCAGACTTCTAGATAAACAGAGACTACTGCCGGATGCTTTATGGAAACAGAAACCTTTATCAGATCAGAGCAGTATTTAATGTATGTGTTCACAGTAACAGTGGCAGCTTGCTGATGTCACTAAAAATGAAGCTCACTTCGTTTATTCGCGTGAATGTGGAACCGTTTTGCTATTTATTAGGTGTTTTTTTTTTCACGAGCATCTTTGGTTTGCCTTTAAAGCTTTAACACGGTGAAGTTTGAAACCGGACCACTAAATGTTTTTTGAGTCTGACGCAATGTTTTTTTTCGTCCTTTTTTGGCTCAGAGGAAGTTGTAATGTGCGTCAGATTTCAGGGTTTCCTCCGGCAGGTCGCAGAATTCAATTTTCAATTCAATTCAATTTTATTTATATAGCGCCACATCACAACAACAGTTGTCTCACAGCGCTTTCCAAACAGAGCAGGTCAGACCCTACTCTGAAGTAAACTACAGAAACCCAACAATTCCCACCATGAGCAAGCACTAGGCGACACAGGCAAGGAAAAACTTCCTTTTAACAGGCAGAAACCTCGAGCAGAACCATGGCTCAGGGTGGTTGAATGTCATAAGAAATCTGTGAGCGCTTGCTTGGAACCCTGAAATTAGCTTCCTGTGTTTGTGTCCTGAGGCGGGAATGTTGACGGACGATGTAGTAACTTGATTTTATTCTAAAAGCGTCGTGTACTTGACATTTAGATTTGAATATTATGCACCAGAAAGACAAACTGGCTACTAAAAAAAAGTTAAAGTTGAGAGTTTTTGATGTTGTGGTGAAGAAAAGAGTTTGAAATGTTATCGTTGTCGTAGGTGAAGATTGTAAAAGTGCGGTGGTGTCACTGTCATGCCTGGTGAACTGATCGGAGGGCTAATTGTTACGCACACGCTTCTGTTTTAAACCAAATGCTTCTTAAGTCACGGGGAATGCGTCCAGACTCCACAGCAGCTTTACCTCACCGCTCTGAATGTGCAGAAACCTTTTCTCCGTGTTTACCAGCGTTTTTTTCTTCTGCTCTCTGCTGGGAGACAAGAACCCCGGGGTGGTAGTTCCACCCTGGTCTGGAACTGGAGTTCAATCTTCTTTTCGAATACGAAAATCTTTTTCTTTCTAAAAATATCTGCATGTTATTTTTGGTTAACATTTGTTAATATTTCACATATAGGTAGGTAATATTTCCCTCTCGTTTTTAAAAACATCACTTGAGTAAATACACTGTAAGACATTCCTCCTCCAACAGTTTAGCTTTAGCTCTGATTTAATGGCAAAGAAATGTACATTTGTTTTGTAATAACTAGGAATAATTCATCTTAAAATATAAAAAAAGAAGAGAAATGATGTTTTCCATTAGATTGGATTATTAAAATCAACTTGTGTTAATAATTTAATTTAAATCTAAGCTAATTTAACTTCAGACCAAATATTGAGTGAACTTGTAACTTTACTTTTATTCTTTACTGATGCTGGTCATATTAAGATAAATGTCTAATCACATTCAGGGCTCAGTGGGGGTGGGGGGGGGGGGGGGGCTACAGTTGCTCTTCATTTAGACTCCCTGAGTCCTAATCGTAACAAGAAGGTAGACGGTTGTGGGGTTTTTGTTCAGACAATCAAAAGAGAGTGTTTGATAAAGGTAGAAAAAGAAAAGAAAATACAAAGGCTTTGGAGAAAGTGCCGTTTCCTGCCGTTATCCCTCCACAGAAGCTAATATTTATGTTTCTTATCCATCAGGATATTTGATTTCCACTATTTGTGTCCACTGTATGAGCATTTGAAAACATGCACAGAATATATTTTCATCCACTTTAAGCTGTTGCTGTGAATAAATGATTTGAATAGAATAAAACCTGAGTTTTCTTTTTCTTCTATCAAACGTCATTTCTTTACCCACATTTTCTGCTCTTTCGAATCTCTGACAGGTGAAAACAATCAGGGGGAAGAGTCCGAAATGAAAGAAGACGGCTGGTTAAAATGTCTGTACATGTGTTTATTTACAGCCTAAAACTGAAACGTTTCAAAACCGAACAGAAACAGATGCCGTTTCTCATGACTCACGCCGGTCCAACATTAATAAAGAGTCAAACCTTATATAAAAAAATAAAATAAAATAAAAAAGAGAAAAAAAAGGGGAAAATTTGACATTTAATTCAAACTAAAAACTCATCGAACCTGGAGAATTAGTAAAAAAAAATAAAATAAAATCTAGGAGGACATCAGGAGGGCAGTCCTGCGGCCAGGATGCTGCCCAGCAGCGTGCGGTCCTTCAGGGCGTTCTCCACGTCTTTCTCCTCGATTTTCAGAGACACCTGGGGGAAACAGCGGGAGAGAGCGTCTTTCCATTTGTTCCATTTGTTCAGAGCGGGGTTTTTTGTTTTTTTTCTCCTCCTACCTTGGTGAGACGGGCCTCTTTGGCCTTCCTCAGGGAGAAGATCCCCCGGCTCTCCAGGAGGCTGCAGAGCGACAGGCACTCGCCCTGCCCCACGGCGCCCACCTGCCTCTGGGCGCACAGGCGGCTGTACACCTCGTGGAGCTGGACACACACACACACACACACACACACACACACACACACACACACAGTTAGCCGCGTTGCTAACCCCAGGGCTTTAAACACCGGACCCCCTGGGGCCCCCCTCGCGCCTCACCTTGCCCAGCCCCAGCTCTTTGCTCCTGCCCTGGCGGGTGAGCAGCAGCAGGCAGCAGACCAGCAGCTTCTGCTGGAGGGGGAAAGTCTCGCCCTCCGACCCGGGGGACGCCATCCGGTCCCCGTAGACCTCCGCCAGCACGCGGGCCACCTGGGGGAGGCCCACCCGGGCTTCTGCACACACACACACACAGAGAGCAGGACGTTAGCTTGAACGCCGGGCCGCGAATCGCCGCCGTTTTGTGGCCGGTCCAAGCTGAGCTCACCTTTAGGCCCCGCCTCCTTTTTTCTCTGATCGGCCTCGACGACTTCAACCGCTCTCCTGAGAAAAAAAAAAAAAACGGGAAACCGGGGTCTGAATTACACAAACCCTAAACCTTCTGTCTAAGATCAACAACCATCACAATGTGTGTGAGCCATCAATGATCGTATATATTTTAGTCACTCAAATCTCTGCGCTGTGTTGCTTCCTTGTATATTTGTTTGCTTTTGCTGTACTTTATGCACCTTTTCCTCCTTTTGAAGTCTAACCGATGCGTGACCAGTGAATT